ACTCCACTAGGACTTGATAAGTAATATTTTTTAGAATTCAAGGAAATTTATCAACATTCATGTTTGAAAATGTTGACCTAGTGGTTCAGCTGACAAAGTGTGCTGTTAAAGAGGATCAAAATTTCTAAGACTGAACTGAGCTAAGTCAATGTGTGGTAAAGGGAACTGGGTATTAGTTGTGTAATAAACTGGTTTGTTTAGCGTCAAAGTTACCAATGGATTCCTGAGGCTAACTCAGTTGTTATTACCTTGTTTTCATTGAAAAAAAATACTATGTGTTTAAATATTCATTAACATCACTGGTGCTTGGAAACTTGTTCCCTTTAGGGAGCAGCAGTGGGCAGTCTTTCTTGTTGTTTGACTCCTATAAAACTTCTTATCAGCAAAGGAGAGTTTTATCCCTTAGATGAAAGTCATTCTGTTTCAGGTGTTCCTGCTCACAAACACCTTAACTCTTTCAGCAGTTAGGCCTTTTTGCCCTCCATGCCAGATCGTTACTTATTCGCAAATTACCATTGCTGAGTAGTTACAGTTTGAATTTCACCTTCAAAATACTTCAGTTGTAATCAAGCCACCTATGTAATTTCTCTTCTTCCCTCTAAGACAGCTGAAGATATATGTCTTGTTCCACCTTTTAATAAGGACAATGCTAATTGTGGAGGGTTAAAGAAAGATGACGGAAAAGAAGGTTTGAAAATAGAAGTTGTACACAAAGGTGAAAGCAAAGTTCGAGTTGGAAGGTGATACTGAATAATTTCCATTCCAAAATAAGAAGACAGACCAGCTACTGAAGAACCTGAAGAATGAGTGTTTAGTAAGTGTGTGTGGTGAACATCGTGGTGCAATGTGGCAAAAGAGAGCACCAGCAGTTCCTTAGTTCAGGAAGAGGGAAGAAAGATTATTTAAGTATATGCAAGCTTTTAAGTGCAGTCTTGGTCCTTACAAAGTTTTAGAAAGACTATCACAGAAGAAATAAGGAGAAATGTGATCAATTTGAGCAACGTGATCTAGTGAAAGATGTCCCTGCCCATGGCAGGGCATTGGAACTAGAGGATCTTTAAAGGTCCCTTCCAACCCAAACCATTTGATGATTCTGTGATTCAAACTGGGACAAGAGCTCTTTATTATTACCTTGCTGCAGAGGAAAACAGGTTGTGTAACTGTGCTTGGCTGGGAGACTGGGTAGGTGTATTAATCTTCAGCTGATGACAAGCTCAGGTGTATCTGTGCAATGTGATGCATCTGCAAAAAATATAAACCTAGCATATGCTGAGAAAGAAAATTGCCAACAATTGTGAGGATTTATCACTGCCACGTGCAAATGGACAAGATTTCTGGTCTCCTGTGCTAGAGATTCATTGGAGCTGGGCCAGCTGCACTGAAGCAACTGGTCAAGGAAGAGTATTTCTTAGGAGACGATATTAGAATGGCCTGTCTTGTGTAAGGAAACTCCAGAGACTAGGAGGTGATGTGACTGCAGTTCATAAATGCAACAGGGCGGAAGAAAAGGTTTGTGCTCTTAAGGGGAATACTGAAAAAGAACAAACTGATGCAAAGCAGCTGTAGATACTATTAGCTAAATATAGTATTAAAGCAAATGTGCATAACTTGTATTCATGTTCTACTTGAATAGTAATTGAAATTAAAATTAAAATATAAATGTAGTGTTCCTCATTAATCTGACTACGTATCTGAGTTGTTCATTTCAGAGGATCAAAATTCATGAGTCATGTGTTGGGAAACCATGAATTTCACTCCTCAAATAATTACATACTTTTTTTTTTTTTAAGATTCTGTGTTCTGGTGTGTCTTGAGTTCTATATTTTGCTCTTTTTCTCTGCTTCTAGAACCTGCTGTTGTGTCAGATCTCCCCCACAGTTCCTCATCAGAATCTGTATTTACCTATAGTAATTAGGCCTATAGTAGTAAAGAAATTATTGCCTAAGAAATACAGATACATAGTATATTTCTTCAGTTCTGTTTAAGTGTTTGTGTGAGCTGCAGATATATTGATGTGCAGGATTAATTTCCAGAAGGAAACTTAAGTGGCGTTAAAAAAAATCACCCCAGTACCTATGTTTGATTTGGTTCAACAACTCCACACTCAAGTTTATAATTTAAATTAGGTTTTGGGAGGCAACTGGATGCCTTGCTCAAGAGAGGGAAAACTTGTTTTTCTGGTAGGTGTGGCTGCTGTTCCTGACATTAAAAAACACCAACCACCTGAAATAAAATCTGTCGGCAATCGTCTTAGGTAACGTACCAGTATTTTTTCCCTCAGCATGTTCTGTATTGAATATTTCTTGCAATTTATCTTAAAAATATTTAAGTTTTTATCTGGTTAGAATAAATAACTTGTAGGTTGCACCTTAGCAAAAACTAAATGGAGGGCTGAACAGAACTTCACTCAGCTGTCTGCTTTAAAAGGTACTTTTTTCTTTCGGATGTTGAGTGTTCGAAACACAGTTGAAAAGATATATATATTTTTTTTATCATTCATTATTTATAGCCAGAAACAGCAGAAGAAATAACAGGTAATAAATTAATTGTATGATTTAATGTTGACATGTTTTAAGATTTCTTTAGTAAAAACTATTTATTCTATAAGGCTGAACAATATTTTAAGTCATAAATAGATAAAACTGAGGAAAAAGTGTTCAATGTGACTTACTCTCTGTTGTAAGAATGCTAAAATATGTAAAAATCTGGGAATAAGAATGCTCAGAGGAAAATTTTTTGTCTGACTTTAGAATGTTTAGTAAAAAGACTTGCAAAGTTGGTGGTGTTCTTAGTCACAAAAGCAGAAAGCTGTGGGACAGTAGCAGGTTCTCACCGTGCGTTTGCAGTTCTGCTCCAAATTTTAAGGACTTCTGGGGGCAATTCTGTGTTTCGGAGACAGAAGAGTCAGTGTCTACTGGTGTTCTGCTTTGTGCCTGGTGCCACGTAGTGAGATTTCTGGTACCCTATGACGGTTCTAGTCTGTAAACTAATTTCTTGGTAGCTGGGAAAGGCTGCTATAAATCACACCAGCCTTGGCAAATGGGGCATATTTAACATGGTATGTTGTGACCATAGTTGTTCTTACTTTGCTCTGCCAGGGAAGAGCAATTGTGAAAACATTGCACATTATTCTGAAGACATGGGCAATTATTTTTTGCCTAAACTCAATTGAGGTTCGGAAGCTAGATTGCTGTATTCAGAAACTAAAATTTTACTGGTTGGGAAATACTGCATTTAAGCAGAAAACCAGACCCTAGGGGAATTTTTCAAAGTAATCCGTGAAGTTGCCAGTGAATTTAGGCACTTCAAAGTTATGAGCTGCTGAGTATATCTGGAACAAAACTATGGACTTAGATTCTTTCTAGATTTGTATATTCCTTACTTTTCTTTGAAAATGCTAGTTTTCTTGTCCATCACCAAACAGTATTGAGATAGAGGCTCTCAAATTAGCTTTACACAATGCATGAAATGGGGGGGGAAAAGCATTAACTATTAGGTCTAATTATTATTTTGGAATAGACTGAGTAATATGCTTTGGAAAAATATGGCAAGGTATTTCGCATGTGCACACTCTCTGAAGATACTTAGATTGCTAAATAATTAAGCAAGTGATTTTGTTAAGAGTCTTGAGAAGTAAATGAAAGGACAGGAAATAGGAGAATCTTCCAGTATCTGCTACGCTTAACGACATTGCTATCTGTTTTAGCTACAAAATATATACCAAGAAATCTGGGTCTTTTAATGATACGATTTTTCTTTCTCAGCAGCTGGCTTTGGGCAGCAATGGCATGCCTACTAGAAACGTTTTCTTCATCTTGTGAGATAGAATCAGTTTATTCCGTCTTGGCATTTTACCCCACACTTCTTGCTGGCAGTCAGGGATACTCTCTTCTACTAGTCCTGTTTTCTGATCAAACATGAATTTGATTAATCTGGGCACTCTTCTTCCAAGAATCTATGTGGTACAGCAGTCTTTGAAGAGACTTGCTGTCACCTCACTGCTTATGATTCATATCTGGATGCCTAAAGATGAGTTTGTAGAGGAAACTTTAATCTGAGCCCCACTTGCAGAAGTTACTGCTGGAGAGTGCCATGAGCTCCCTGTCAGGCATTAACACTTGCAGGGACAAGTGCTGCTAATGATTTTGGCCACCCAGGTGCTCAGGGGATGCCAGTCCGTTCCTGCAGATGCCCAAACCATGCCAGAAACTGAGACAAATTAATGCAGCGTGAGGGGGCCCAAATCTCCCACAAGCACAGTATGAGGTGACCTTCCCTGCAAGTCTTGCCCTGTACAGTGCTAAGCTGGGAAGAGCCGATAACTGAGAATAAGTTTTATGCCCCCATAGATTTCACCTGTCTTATGCTGAGTTGTGTGAATTGACCTTCCCCATATGTATTGTCCTATCTGGTGAACTCCAAGTTAGGGAATTTTTGCATTAGAGGTTGTGTCGGGATCATCATGTACAATCCCAAATTGCCGTATTTTTTATGAACTTGATTAATTCTGTATACATGTAATTTATATATCTGCCCCTACCTTGTCTGTGAGAAGCCTTGTTGAGGTGTTTTTGGTGTATAATTTATATACACACTATGTAGGGGAGAAAAAAAAAAGGGGGGTGTGTGTGTGTTTTCATTTAAAAATTACTGCCTAATTACTTAATTGGATGTTCTAAAATTTGGATTACAGAAAATAATGAATAATGGCTCCTTGTTCTCCTGTATATAGGCCTCTATCATATTCTCTCACAGAACCCTCCATGTACCAAACCTTTTCCAAATGTTTGACGTATAGAGGCATTCAGCATGACATACAGTATTATCCATCCCATTAAAGGTGTGATTGATTTTTCATAAAAGCACAGTAGCTGGCTCTCCAATTCAGTGCAGAGTGAAAGAGATTTGCTCCCCATCTTGCTTGTGAAATTCTTGAGCAATGAGCATGTCAGTATTATCTCATATTATATATTTTCTTTTCTGCAGATGCAGCAGTATAAAGTGCAAGGACAACGAAATTTACATCCACATTAGATACATTCAAAATGTTGTGTGGAGGGAAAAAATCTTACTTTGCTGCTGCTGTGTGCATTATTACTCTAACTTCAATGGTCACACTTTCTTATCTTAGGTTACAGAATCTTTCTCACCTGCCAAAAATAATTCAAGAAGGTAGTAGATGTAAAGGGAAAATTACCAATAGCACAATAACAGCATTAAAAGATAACAGAACTTTTATTATATCCCCTTACTTTGATGACAGAGAAAGCAAAGTCACTCGTGTGATCGGGATTGTTCACCATAAAGAAGTAAAACAACTATACTGCTGGTTCTGCTGTCAGCCCAATGGAAAGATATATGTATCAAAAGCAAAAATTGATGTTCATTCAGACAGGTTTGGATTCCCTTATGGTGCAACAGATATAGTTTGTTTGGAACCTGAAAACTGTGATCCAACACAAGTATCAATTCATCAGTCTCCACGTGGAAATATTGACCAGCTGCCAGGGTTTGAAATTAGAAACCGCAAGGCTGAGACCTTTGCTGTTGACTTCACTGTGTGCATCTCTGCCATGTTTGGAAATTACAACAACGTCTTGCAGTTTATACAGAGTATAGAAATGTACAAGATTCTTGGGGTACAGAAAGTGGTGATCTACAAGAACAACTGCAGCCAGCTGATGGAAAAAGTCTTAAAGTTTTATGTGGAAGAAGGAACTGTGGAGATAATTCCCTGGCCAATAAACTCACACCTCAAGGTTTCTTCTGAATGGCAGTTCATGCAAGATGGAACACATATTGGCTACTATGGACAAATCACAGCGCTAAATGACTGTATATACCGAAACATGCAGAGGAGCAAGTTTGTGGTTCTTAATGATGTTGATGAAATAATTCTTCCCCTTAAGCACCCTGACTGGAAAACAATGATGAGCAGTCTTCAGAAGCAAAACCCAGGGACTGGTGTTTTCCTCTTTGAGAACCATATCTTCCCAGAAACCATGTCTACTCACATGTTCAACATTTCATCCTGGAATACTGTGCCAGGTGTTAACATATTACAGCATGTTCACAGAGAGCCTGACAGGAAAGATGTAATCAATCCCAGGAAAATGATAGTTGATCCACGAAAGGTGATTCAGACTTCAGTCCATTCTGTCCTACGCGCTTATGGGAACAGTGTGAAGGTTCCCATGGATGTTGCCCTCATTTATCACTGTCGGGTGCCCCTTCAAGGAAACCTGCCCCAAGGATCCCTCATCAAGGATACAACACTGTGGAGATATAACTTATCATTAATCATGAATGTTAACAAGGTGCTAAGTCAAACTGTACTGTAAGCTCAAAAGTGAAACCTTGGTTGTAAGGAGGGAAAGTGGAGACCTACCCCTACCATGGGGAGGCAGAGGATATAATTTAAAGATCACAGTAAAATCACTTCCACTTAAAGTTTACATCTTACAGAGATTTAGGAGAACAGCCCTTTTTTGTACTGTACAAAGGTAAATGCATTTGATTTGCGAACTGAGACAGGGTACCTGGTAAGGGTCCACTCCTGTAGTTGATCAGTGCTGCTCCTCCTGTAAGTGGTCAAGTGCTGAATTGGCTTAATCAGGTAAAGTCTCTACTGCACCTTTGTTAGACATGAGAGCTGTGGCATAGTGAGAAATTGCTCTTTTGCATGCTTATAGCTGTGAAAGGACATTATTCAAGGCCTAGGAAGTGACCATGCAGAAATTAGAAAGTTAATGTAACAATATCCAGGTTTCTCTTTTTCTTTTCCCATCTTCATATACGTTTTAGCTAGTACAGTGAACCTGTAAACTACCTGAAGAAGGAATGAATTGATTTTTGGTTATTTGTATGTCTGAAGTACTTGGTGGATAAAAAATACAGCTGTGCTTAGTGGTGCCTATTAAAAAATGGCTTGGGACAGCATCTCCCAGATGAAGAGCTGCATTGGCATTAATGCTGTAACCTGTTATAATCACAGAGGTAGGATAAGAAAATGCACCAGCTGTAGCACAGGAACTGTCACTTAAGCTATTTTGTTAGAGGTTCATTTGTCTTAAGGAACGTGGGAATTTGTAGCAGAGCTGTGAGTCATTTCATGATACCAAGGATCAATGCAGATGGTATTACCTCTTCTGGAAAATGTAAAATGAGTTTGTTTTCAATTGAAAAAAAAAAAAATCAGTATTTCTCAACTGATTCAAATAAAGTCAAAGGCTATACACTTTTTTCAACTTACGTATAAAACATACAACTACAGTCACTGGTATTAAAGGTAACATTGCTTAATTCTTGCAGTTTGTATGTCACTCTTTGGGTACAAAATTTGTATGCACCAAGTTGAGTAAAAGGTAAACAAATGCAGTGTGATAAATACTGATCAAAATCTACTAGTTTAAATTATAAAAAAAATTGAACCCTTTCTATTACTGGAAATTGCATTTGTTAAAGAGGTGATGTATTGTAGCACTGAACACAAAACTGCTGGAGTTTTGCTGATCCAAATGACTCTCCAGCTTGGGGTTTGAGACATGTAAGTTTAAGAAGAGTGATCCCTCTTTTGTTACCCACAGGTGTTCTGAATTACTTAAGTGGCAAGAGCCGAGTCATGTTGCAAAGCTTTAAAGCAGAGGCAAGATACAGACTGATGCTGAAGAAAAAGAGAGTTTTGTGAACTGAAAAGCAAGGCTATTTCCACGGGAATGGATGAATAACTACTTAAAATATGTAATAGTTTGGGGTTTTTTTCTGGCCTCTGTCTCTTCATTCACAAAAATTGGACATCAGGTGGATTTTACTCGTTTATGTGATGGGTAAGTTGAATTATGATGCTTCCTTATGTAGCTGTAAGGGTACAGAAGCTGTATGTTTTCTAACCTCAATCTCAAAATAGTGCTAGGTAATTTATTAACTTGTGCTCAAGGGTCAGATGGAAAGCAAAGCAAACAAAACCCATTTCCTCACTGTAGTTTTGCAATTCCAGTAATGTTTTTTCTGTTTGCTGAGCCCACAAAGCTATGTGCATTGTACTAATGTGGCAAAGTATTAGAACATTATCAGAATGTCTGTATATAGAACATACATTAGCATGTACAAAGGGACGTCGGGGGGGGCGGGCAGTGACAGTCTGACACCTCAGTATGTGTGAAAGCAGGTACACTTTTTTAAATTTCTACACCAGTGTCATGTTTTCATTCCTTCATCTGTTTTGTGGTGGCACAAACCTATGCCCTTAAGGAGGTATGTCATTAGTGGTTAGTAGCATTGGCTAGCAAATGTCCAGGTAGAGGTTTTACTCAGAAGTGTTCAAGAGACAGTCTGTAAATAACAACTGTTTGCTAATTGTATTTGTAATAATCATCATCTGCTATGTAACAGGTTAAACACTTCTAAAATTAAAAGGGTAGAAGAGCAGTGTAGTGTGTATTGGATGCTTCTCATTATGCTTTTCTGCTTGCATACTACGAACAATGCAGGAAAGGAGAATTTAGAGTTCTTAATTTGTTTAAAATTTTCTGCAACTTGTGAAATACTTGTGGCAGAATCCCTTTCTAGCTACCACTTCACAGCTTTTAACAAACTGTAGTATTTGCTTCACAGTGGCAGCAGCATCTCTCAAAGCCTATCAACAAACTGGCAGCTGCATTAACATCAAAGGGGTTTGCTAGAGTGGTGCTACTTTGCATGGCAAGAGGTCCATTCAGAATGCTAGTCATGTAGTTTAGAAGGGGCATCTGGAAGTCCAGCTCCTGGCTCAAAGCAGGGTACAGTCGTGTGGTTTGCTCAGGACTTTGTCTCTCTGGGCAACACGGTACATTCTTCAACTACCCTCACAGTGAAGAAGAGAGTTGGAATTTCTCTTGTTGCAATTTGTGACCACTGGCCCTTGTCCTGCTGCATGTTGCTGAAATGGGTCTGACTTTGTCTTCTCCACCTTCTTATGAGGAAGCTGGAGACAGCAATGGTGCCTCCCCACCCCATCCTACTCCCACCTTCCCGCACTGTTCTCGCTGCAAGGCTGAACTCGGCTCTCACAGTTTCTCAGACACCTTGTGCTCCACCTCCCTCTGAGGCCTCTCATGGGATTTGCTCCAGTGTGTCAGTCTGTTTTGTACTCGAGAATTCAACATTGAACTCAGATGTGGCCTTGAGCACGGAGCAGAAGTGAAGAACCCCTTCCCTCCAACTCATGGTTATGTACTTGTAAAATTCAGTATACACTTGGCCACCTTAGTCACAAGGTCATGTTGCTAAATCCTGTTCAGTTTGCTGTCCTTTCCTGTAAAGTTGCTTTCCATCTTGTTTGCTCCAGCCTGGCTTGTGTGGGGTGATTGTGTCAGGTGCAGGGTGGTGCATTTGCTTTGATTAAGCTTCATGAGTTTTCTGTCAGCCCACTTGTCCAACCTTGTTGAGAACCCTCAGAATAGCATTCCCTGATCTCTTGCATATTGACTGCTTCCCCTTCTCCTCCAAATTAGTATCGTTGGAAACTTGCTAAAGAGTGGAGTCTGCCATCATAAAGGTCACTAATAAAGTGGTTAACCAATTCTAGCCCCTTAACAACTGGTTACCAGTTAGACTTTTGTATCACTGATGACCATCCTTTGAGTCCGGCAGGCCAGCCCATTTTCCATTTGGCTTGCAATCCAAATATTCACTCTGTATTTCACAGATTTGGGTGGAAGGAAGTTTCTGGCATGTTCCTGTCTAAACGCCTGCTGTGAGGTAATATTTCAAAGCTAATGCAATATTTTATAGATGGCCCATCAAACCATGTCTCCTTTAGAGTAAATTGAGTTACTGCACATCATACACAGTATAGTTTCTCCCACATTAAGAATGAGGACAACTGGGTTTCAAAACAACTTACTGAAGGGTTTCTGTTTCAGGTAAGTTTTCTTGGCTTTTGAATGAGAATAGAAGCTCTAATACATCATTTCTGCCCCAGTCAGTGTGGTTTGAAGCGAGAACTGTTAATTTGGCTTCCAATTGATAAAATCCTCAACTATAAGTACATTTTCAAATTAAGTTTGTGTGAATATAGGTGGAAGGCTGAGTACTTAAAACTTGGTCTGGTATTCCAGAGCCACTGCTCCACTGTGACTTCATGCAATTCCTAACACATCACTCAAATACTTCTGTACGAAAACTCCCTTTCCATTGGTACAAGGCATGCTGCATAAATTTGGGAACTTTGGCCCTCATTCAGTATTAAGTATGAAATTAGGTCTCCTTGGACAGTGGGAAGAAAAAAAAATCATACTAACAATGGTAACGCTAGGCAGTTTTATCTTTTCAAGGACATGAGCCAGTCTTCATGAAAACTCATGTTTTCAAGTTGTGTTAAAAAAAAAAAAAAAAAATTAAGGGGAGATTTTATTTTAAGGGAGGAAGGAGAAGAAACCAACCTAAAGCATTTCTAAAGCATGAGATGTTATAGATACAGCTTTTAAGTACATGTCAAATACCACAAAAGTATGTGGCTATTCATTTGCTACTTAATAGTTAACTCATGTACATCAGGTCTCCTACAATGATCAAACCAAAAGACCTTTTTCTACTCCTATGCTTTTCTTCAGGCTTTTGATATTTTATTTTTTTTCCCCAGAGGTGTGGCATTCTGTTATTTGCCCTTGCTTTCCAAATCTAGATGTAGCAACTACTTTAAGTGCCTGATTATATTAACTGCAACTTTTGGAAAAAGTGAATGGCTGCTAGACATCATTTAATGTAAGAGAGTGACTCTTTCTGTAGAGATTGAACATCATCTTCCCGTTCATTACATTCCTACCTATCTGTGAACTAAGTTATTTCTCACACAAACTACAAGAAATATGGACTATAAAATACTGATTAAGCCATTCTGAGTTACCATCAGCAAATATGATGAATACTGTCAGAGGTCCTCTAAGGTTAATTGCAATGGCAAGCTCTATCAGATAGCTGAAAAGCTGGCTCATTCTCTCTGAGGAGAGTTCATGTTGACATGTTCCCAAATTTAAACAAACTATTATTGTTAGCATCTAATCCTAGTTAAAGGACCCATTTGATTCTGCTATTGCAAAGGCTAAGTATTTAAAGCTATCATAAGGAAAAAATGTTTTGAAGAGAATGATAATGGAGAGAGAAAGGGCTTGCTATTTCTCATTTGATTTAAGCAGCCATGCACTGTAACCAGTATTTGCTGTTACATGTACAAAAGCCTATGGTTCTAAAATAGTAGCTTCACCTTCTGTTTCAACAAAAAAAATAGGTCAGAAGTCAGGTCAAGCACTACTTCATTTCAGACTTGATGGTAGATTTGAATGGTTTAAATGTGACAAGCTATGCTTCAGAGCCCAAACAAGTATGCTTAAACATGAGTACAGACAAAATTTTGTGGTGAATACTGTTAGCATGCTGTATTGCATTATGTCCAAAACAACCCATTCCCAAATGCCCAAATAAAAGTAAATGATTGTGCATTGCATGATGATACCATTAGGTGTGCAACTTTGGTTCATGCAAAGTCTCATTTTATGGACACGTTGATGATAGTCCATATATTCCTGAAGATTCTGCATATGTGAGCTTTTCAGCCGTGTTCTTTCCATAACACCAAATGAATACTATGGTCTGGCATACTGGTGGCAAAAACCAAGCCCATATCATTTTGGCCATTTAGTCCGTTTAACCAAGACATTTCACCAGCCAAAAAGCTTGAACCTCTCTTTGACTTTCTATACTCTGGTAGAGGCCAGCGGCTTATCAGTTTTTCTGTCCTCAAGTCCATTATATACAGGTATCTGTTATCAAAGAGTAGAGCAAATATCTCTCCGAAGCCCAGCAAGGACACATTTGAGAAGTCAGGAGGTTTGATAACCCTAGAAGACAAGACAACATTGTTAGAAAGTGTCATGATTTAGTCATGAACCTGCATCACTAAAACAAATCCTTAGGTGTCTATAGAAAATAAGTGTCTTATCTCATGATTCTGAAAGTAGTTAGGAAGAACTGGATTCAAATTTTTCAAATTAAGCAACTGAACACTTAGCTGCGGTCAGGCCTGTGGTTTCAGTTCTGCCTTTCTGCATTCAGGACAGACTCTTCTGAACAAAGGTAAGGGTTTGAAAGGGACTTGGCACAGCACATGGAAAAAAAAGTCTTGCTTCCAGATACACATAAACGAGCAAATGTACTTGTGTTTTACAGTAAGTTTCCACAGGGATTTCATGCGTTAATATCTTTAAATTAAGATATCTTAATATTCTTTTGACCACAGAAATGCTTTCTTGTGATTCACTCAAGATTGGTCCTTAACTGAATGTGGTTTTACTGACACTTAGCATAGGGTTAGCATTTTCATCTTAGAGAGAAATAAAAGTATTTGTTAGTTCCCCTACACTTTTGGGATAACTTTGCCGTAATAAATAAAACTTGGAACAGAAATTGAAGACAGTAAGCTTTCCACAACTAACTGAGCACTTGATCATAGTGTTACATAAAACACAGAAATGAGGCACAAAAATGTATGGAGATGAAAAAATCTGTTCTCGGCAGTAGGAGAACGTTTCTCTTTTGAAAGATGGGAAGGTAAACTAAGAGGTGAAATTACTCAGTTATTCTTACTGGTAAGAAGAACCTCTTTTAGAGTAGGTCCTCCTATGGCAGATATTTACAAATATTTGCATGATTTCAATTAATAGTCTGCTAACAGCTCTAAAATGCAATTTTTTCTTTAGTAAGTCACAATCTTTGGAGCCACCGTTTCTGACAGATACAACCTCATTCTTATTATGGAAACAGAGTGACATCCTCTTTGATTCCTTACTGCAATCTGATAGATTTCACTGTCATTCCACAGCATTATCAAGAATAACAGATCAGTAGTGCTGTAAGGAAAAAGTCTTTTTAATTTCTTGTCCCATCAAAGGATCCAGAAATGATGATACATTAGAATTAAACCTGGTGATATGTGTAAAGTAAGATGTTTACAGAATTTTTATCAAGATTCTTTTGACCTACATCTAAAGTAAGTTATTAAAACTAATATGTTCCATTTCTTATTTATTTAAAGAAGACTAAATCATAAACTGAAAGATTTACCTGAGAATATCATAGCTGGCAAAGTCCCACTGGTATAAACCTAGTGCTGAACTGCACACTATGTATTTACCATCAAAGTGCAGCCTGGGCTGTAGGGAGATGCTGCGATCTTCAGACACAGACAGTGTTTTTAAGCACTTGCAGTTTATTTCCCTTCCAATAGGCCAAATCTACAATTAAAACACAGTTTAAGACCATAAAACGTTACATTATAAACCATTAGACAAATAGAGCAAGCCTCACAGTCTCTCTTTAAGCACTGGGTAAATGTGTGCATGTTTTTGCAGAAATATTTCTCTCCTTTAGGTAGGAACATCAATTCTGTAAGTGACTTGTCTTACAGTATTGTCGCAGTATATGTTGTTTCTAGCCTAAAAAATCCCAGCGAAAATTGGTGCTTTAAAGAACAGTGAAAAAATCAACCATCTAATTGGACAGAAATGTAAAAATGTTTCAGTTAAAAAGCACTTCCATAGCCACAAACTATTTACAGAACTTTCCAAATCCAGAAGTCCCCAATACTAACTGTATTTGCAGTTAATGTGCTTTGCTGTCAAATTAGCACATTAGGCATGCACGAAAAGCACTTATTTTTGGCATTTCCATTCACACAGAGCTATCATTTAAATCTAAACATGAAGGAAAGCATTGAAAAATTAGCTTCCAAAGAGTTGCATGTCTTGCACCACAACTTTACAAACAGGGAATATGGAAGAAAGTAAAGTCTTATGTTTATAAACTTCAGCAAAGCACTCGAGCAATTTATTTCCATGGGTACTGAAATAGTAAGTGTATGATATATAGTACGTACCTTGATTTCATACTTATCTGCACTTAGAAGAATATAATCCCCAGGACTATGCATAAGAGATTTGACTTTGCACTTCTGCAAAACTACCTGTAATTGAAGGATGTAATGATTTATGTTGATGCTGTTAAATAACCAACTTTCATTTGCATTTTTAACTTCATTGACAACTTGTACACTATACTCTTGTATAAAGGCAATACAAATACTTTTAGCAACTGAAGGGAAACTACAGTTTACTTTTCTTGTTCCTATTAGTGACAACTTACTGTATTAATAAGCAAACATATGTACTTCACCTCTAGAGTCACCCCTCTCACCTCCAAATTCTGAAATACTCAGAAGAAAAATACTGATTCTTGACTTTCATGCTCAGATTTTGGTTATCAAGATCATTAGTTTTTCTACATAATTTTAAAATTATCTTTCTTTCAGAACCATTGTTTTTATTCAGTCTTTTAATCAAACACTGATTCCTAACATTATGCCAGCTGCTTTCGAATAGAAATATCTTCAATGGTCTGAAAGGTCTAGTTCTTTACATATTTTTCTGCTGAAATGTTATTTTTTGGTATTTTCTGATGTTCTCCAGAACCTACACCAGATTCTACATGTGTTAGGATTAGAAAATAGAAATTTAGAACGTTACAAACTTATTGCAAATAAGCGTTTTGCAAGATTCATCGAAAATCAATACTCCCACCTTAGTGACCCATTCTGTGTGTCCAGTAAGGGTATTCAGGCACGTTCCTGTTGATAAGGCCCATACTTTCACAGTGAAGTCTGCCGAGCCACTGACCAGAATATCAAGTTCATCATTGTAATCCACACTAAAAACTACAAGCAGATAGGGTACTAAATAAGGAATACCAGTCTGTATGCACGTGTTGTTCTGTCATATAGCCTCTAAAATCATATGCTACGACAGCTTTTACTGTTGATCTTGAACTGCATATTTGAATTGTTGCCCTGGATTCCTAAGATTACATTACAAAATTACTGATTTTTGTCCAAATTAAGAGCATGTACATCAGTGGTTCCTTTGTGGTTGGATTATGGCAAAGTGTAACTTAAGCTAGTTCCTATTATAAGAGTTCTAGTAAGTCAATTCCAGCAGGATTAGTACATGTGATACATCTCATTACTCACAGGGGAGCACACCTACACCAGAGTTGAGGATATTTTGCAGTAGAGGACAAAGAAGTTAATTATGATGGAAATGCAAATACAGATTCCCAGGTCCTGTTGTGTTCTTTTCTGAAAGCCCATTTCGTCTAGGGATGCAAATAACTGCTATGGCCATATGCTCCCTGCCACCTATGGTCTGCATCTTTTTGGTAGACTCCAAGGTACTGAATAACCATGGCATTTAACATTATTTCCATGCAACTGCAAAATACTACCTGGCTAAGTTTTGGCCTTATTCAAGGGCACACAGATCTAGATCTGTCTATCTGTTTGCTCCCTCCCTCCCCCTCTCCCCCCCAAACAATGACTTGGGATAGAGCCTGAAAAAAAAAAGCTATTGTGCAAAGAGCTAACTTAAATTACAATTTCTTGGATAATGATGTATATTACTTGACTAGTGAAATTACAAATTGAAAAATCCAACATACCTGCACCAGTATGTCCTCTAAAATGCTGTGTCTTTGCCCCAGAGCTCCATTCCCAACAGGCTACTGTGTTATCAAAAGATCCTGTTACAAGCTTTTGCTCATCAAACTTCACTGCAGCACAAGTGTGTGTCTGGATACCGTATATGCACTGACCTGTGCTTACATCCCACAGTTTTGCAGACAAGTCATCTGATCCTAGAATAGAAAAGAACAGGGTAATTGGAAGGAAAATGTAAATAATATTTCCAATCCTATACTGGTCTTGCATGTTTGTCTTACAGTATTTTCATAAAATCACAAAATAGTTATGGTTGGAAGGGACCTCTGGACGTTAGCTCTTCTAACCCCCCTGCTCAAGCAGGGCCACCTAGAGCCGGTTGCCCAGGACCACAACCAGACGGCTTTTGAATATGTCCAAGGATGGACACTCCACAATCTCCCTGGGCAACCTGTGCTCAATTACTCTCACAGTAAAAATGTGCTTTAGAGGGGACTCCCCGTGTTTCAGTTTGTATTCACTGCCTCTTGTCCTGTTACTGGGCACCACTGAAAAGACCCTGATTCCATCTTCTTTGCACCCTCACTTCAGGTATACATTGATAAGATCCTCCCCGAGCCCTTTCTTCTTTAGAATAAAAAGTCCTAGCTCTTTCAGCCTTTCTTTGTGTGGGTGATGCTCTAGTCCCTTCCGCATCATCAAGGCCCTTTGTTGGACTCTCCAGTGTGCCCATGTCTCTCTCTTGTACTGAGGAGCCCAGAACTGGATGCAGCACTCCAGGTGTGGCCTCACCAGTGCTGAGTGGAAGGGAAGGAGCACGGCCCTTAACCTACTGGCAACACTCCTCCTAAAGCAGCCCAGGATACTGTTAGCCTTCTTTGCGTCAAGGGCACAATCGTGGCTCATGTTCAACCTGGTGTCCACCAGGACCCCTGGGTCCTTTTCTGCCAAGCTGCTTTCCAGCTGGGTGGCCCCCAGTATCTACTGGTCCCGAGGAGTTGTTTCTGCGCGGTTGCAGGGCTTTGCATTTTCCCTTGTTGAACGTTTTCTCATTAAATAGCACTTTCAAGCTGCTTTAATAGGGAATAAGCCCTAATTTTAAGTCTTGGCACTACAGCAAAGCCTCTTGTTTTCATGTTAATTAAGCTACTAGATGTCTGGCCTTCCATTTTCCTCATACCCTTCTAGCACCTTCCATAGATTCCAGCACTGCCTCTCACTGACAGTGTCTATTTAAACAGACCCATCGAAGTCACACCACTCTCAGGTTTGCAGAGCTACTGACTATACTGCAAGCTTTAGTTTATTTCAGGTAGGAAAGGAGTCCACCAAATCTCAAAAGACAGCGGATGAATACCAGGGTGCCATGACCTACCAGTCTCCTTTTGCTCCCCAAAGTTTCTTTTTTATTTTAAACTCCTAACAGTAAGTCCAAGCCACTGGCTTTGGAGAGCAGAATAAAATCCACGCCCTTACACCCATGGTTTCTCCTAGTGGTTTCAGCACAGAAACGTGCCAATTTTCAGAAAGTTTTGACAATGCTGCTTCCTGTGCATTTACATTCCCTGCTGAGTAGGGAAGTGAAAGACTGGCTAGAGTCTAGTTGTTGGTTTCTAGTAACCATCTTCGTGTACCAACAAACATGGGAGTACTTAGCCTGTATTCCCAACGTATTCTATAGCACTGTCATCTCAAGTGATTGGGAAATCCTTGGAATATGCTCTTACAGCAGTTCTGTTATTATTCTTTCATACTTAAGGTTTCATATTTGTTCTGTCTGTATTTTTAGGTTCAGACTGAAATTTTGAATTCTACAGTCTTCAGGGAGGAAGCTAAAATTATCATTACAATATGCAAGTCAGACTATTGCACTTTACATATATTGCACAGATAACTGCACTTATATCATGTTAAGAACTGCACTTATATCATGTTAAGAACTGGAAGTGCTCACAGACTGCCTCAGAGAAACTGTCTGGTTTCAAGGAAGAAGACAGACTTCCTGCCACACCTTGGGATACTGCAGTGATCGCATAGCCCAGACAAGGTCCCTTTAACTGGAAGTTATCCTCTAAGATGATAACTAACATATCTGTACTTCTCAAATGGGCTTACTAATCTGAAGCATGATACCCAATGATACTGGTTTTTTGGTCTCCTTGTTTTCCTATTAAAGTGACTAATGAGTTTATTAGTGGGCCAGGTATTTCAAAAATTGAAAAAAAAAAAAAGTTATTTTGAATCATCTTAAATTACATTAGCACTATCAAAATAATCTATCTGGTAAAGGAAAAGCAAAATGTCATTAATCATATGGGGGGTGGGGGCAGAAAACAAAGAATTGTAAGACTGCAAGTTTTCTGTCCTTCCTACCTGTACACAGAAGTCCATCTTTATAGTAAAGTGCATATACTCTGGCACTGTGTCCAATTAAAGAGGATGTCTCAAAGGCTTCGTGGTCCTTCAGTTGCTTCATCCTTAAAATAGCCTTTAGGTAAACCTTCTTCCAATGCAGAGGATCCTGAACAGAGTCATCTATTTGCCAACCCAAATTCTTACATGCAGTCTGCCACACCTCTGTACAGGCACTTATAACCTTATTCCACTGCTTAGAGACGAGGCAACATGTGAGTAGGGTCTGAGGATCAAGCCATTTTAACAGATAAAAACTAAGTTCCAATGGAAGAAGTTTGAGGAAGTCCCTCTTGAGGAGAATCTCTAGATTATTGGAGAGGTGCCTGAGCTGGACTGCTCCACTCAAGCTAATCAGGTGATCCAGAGTTTCATTTTTCTGCAAGTCCGTCAGAGAAAGAAATGTAATAGAAATGTTATCAAGCCATGCTTCAAAGTCCTTTTTCTCCATAAGGTTATGGAAAAATTTACCTGTGATACATCAAAATACTGTATTAGTTCTGTTCAGAAAACAAGGTAAGCATCACATCTTTATTACTGGTACATCAGTACTCCAAATGGCATGTTAACACATAGACTTAAGTGACCAAACGCGTTTTAAAATATTCATTAGGTTAGGACTAAGAACTTGCATGCACTTTGAACTATCGCTTGTTCCGCATCAGGCTCAGAAGTGAATTGTATGGAAGTAGTGAATATTAGCATTCATTATGAACATTAACATCTTTCTTGTTCTAGATTAAGACTTCCAAATTCTGAATCCAATAAGGTAAGGGTTAGTTTAAGTTTTAAACCCCTTCTGGCAAATAAACACTGTCTTGCAGTTTATTCATGGATTATACTGATACAAGGAAGAAAGCAAAGCATATACAGAGATTGATAAACTAGCTACTGACAAAACTAATTCATACCTTTGTCCTGAACTATTTTGAACACAAAGCAGGCAACTTAGTTTTTTTTAAAGAAGATATAGAGAGATGTCTGAAGAACTGTTTTGAAGCACATTAGCCATCTTTCTTTTTGGCTCGTGTAAATACTATAGATTGTACTGGCCTAATATCAGTTTTACCACGTTTGCACTGTTTTGACCTAAACACTTATGGTGTTGTTTTTTTTAAATTCCTGGGGTTTTGTCCTATTTTTTTCAGTTTATTTCCTGTGAAAAGAACTAACTGTGAAACTGAAGGTTTGAAATACTACCTGCTGAACTATGTGAACTCTATGCATTTATACTACCCTGAGGCATCTCAAGTTCCTACAATAAGTTTGGACAAGCGGTTAACAAGATAAACATTGGCCAAACAATTATAAAGCCATAATTATTTATTTTCTTTGGAAGATCTAATTCCATTCATTAGACAACTGGCTGAATTTAATTCATAGAAGCTCCCAAACCCAAAGAACTGAGGAATCTGAGTGGGAGTTAACTCTATACAGACATTTTACCTTCATACAGTAAAATCTTGAAGTACACCTCTTAACATAGCATAGTAGCACAGAAAAGTACAGCCTTCCCTGTGATAGGCTGCACCTGGCGTGCCACCGCTGCTACAAGCACGAGAAGGCACTGGGTGTCAAATGCACAGAAACAGCTATTGAGTCCTATTGAGTCACAAGTTCATACAGTAACTTTTACTGCTGACAGCACTTACCAGCTTTCCTCAGCACATATGGCAGAGACTATATTTGCTGTTCTAAGAGGCATGTGTTCTCTTTAAAACAAACAAACATTTCTAACAGGCTCCCTATGAATGAAAAATAGGTGAGCTCTAAGGCATTGCTGTATCCAATACACAAAGTTAATACTGAAATCAAGGGCTGCTGTGAGGCCCCGCAGCCGATGCTGTGAGCACGGGGCTCTTCTGGGTGTCAACCAGCGAGCCCCCTCCGCTCCCCGCCCGCTCCCATGTACCTCCGCAGCAACAGCCACGGCGAGGGCCGCGACCTCCAGCGCCGCTGCTGCCGGTGCCGCTCGCCCGAATCCCGCGGGCTGCGGCGCTCACCTCAGGTAGCGGCCCGGCGCGGAGCGTCCTTCGGCGGGCAGCCGCCGCGGCTGGCGCGGCCCCCCGGAGCCCGGCATGGGCTGGGGCTTCCCTGAGGCCATGGCTTCCACGGCAGGACAGGCTCCCGGCGCTTCCGCGGCCCGCACAGTAGCCTGCGGGCACCCGCGGCAGGAGGCCGCGCTCGGGCGGGACTGGGTGCCTCCGGCGCGGG